AAAATTTTTTTTTTAAGTTCTTAAACTTATAGTTAAAACTTCTTTCGCTAAGGACTGAAGGAAACTCACCCAGTGCTGTAAAACTCGTCAATCCAAAGGTTCCTAGCAGCTGGAAAAGCAGTTAACAAGCAATTTCTGAGAGTGATTAGAAAAGGAAGTATGTGAACTTAGTGTCCTTTTGAAGGTGCCAACCGCGGTTTGAGCAAGATGGCTATTCCCTCGTCTCCCAGAGTTCTAAACCTGCTGAATACCGCTATCTTGCAGTGTCCTTGTGAGGAGCAGTTGTCTGGAGCACTTGAGGGCAATTTCAAATCCTGTCCTTGTCCGGAGAGGAATTATCAAAGAGCCAATCTACTCGCCGGCTCTTCATTCTGCCACGGTTGTCGGCTCTGCTTTTTGCTGAACTGTCTTCAGTCCACCAGTTCTTTCCCAGAAGCCACCCTCTGGTGCTTTCTTTACTTCACCTTCCTTTTCTAAAATATACAACAGCAATGCTGTTATGGCATTAGTGTAAATAGGAACCAGATTTAAGGCAGAAAATCAGTGTGGTCGAGATGATCCTTCAGACTCTCAGATAAACATGCTGCCAAAGTGATGGTAATAAATGGTTTGATTAATGGAGTTTTTAGGATGAAAACCAAGAACCAAACCCATTCTGGTTAATGTAGGTTGCAAGTCCCAAATTAGCAAAATAGCATGTGCAGCAAATACTTCAGAACCAGGACTGTTGCAGTGTGGATTGTTGAGACTGTATGCAAGGCAAAACATAGGTTCTGGGATCAGATGCCTGGACATCTGTGATTTGTAGTCATTATAGTTGCAGTCATTATATACTGCAGTCATCCTGTTCTTCTATTAACGAGTCTAACTTGCAACTTCTTACTTGTTCTAGACACCTAACACTTTTGCAGTGTGCACTGAACATCGTGGAATTCTGCTGCAAGCAAGCAATGATAAGGACATGCATGATTGGCTCTATGCATTTAACCCTCTCCTGGCTGGATCAATAAGGTAACTGAATCATTTAAAAGGCTCCTCTTTAGAATGGCTTTCCCAATCTGGTTTCCTTAAGATGTCTTGGATAAGCAACTGCCATTAGACCTGCTGGATAGCTGGCTTAAAATTATGGAAGGAACCAATTGGAAAAGGCTTTCTAGAAGAAGAGTAATGCTATTTCCTTTAGTACTAGGTACAATTTCAGATGTGCAACCTCTGATTCTGTTGAGATACCAGTGCTGGGTGGAAGTCTGAAGAGTAGTTCTTCCTTTGCTTATTTTTTTCTCAAGCCTTTACATTTTTTCTGTCTTGGCTTCTCCAACAGATCCAAACTGTCTAGACGAACAACAGCCCAGACAAGAATTTAACTTAAAAGAGCTGCCCACCTCAAAAAACAGAAAAGTGAAATAATGGGTGCTGTTGGAAGATCCCCATCTTAAATTTGGATTTTTCCTGCCATTCATCTCCCCAGATGCCTGTGCCACAGAGTGATCCATCATGAGTTACAGCTTCATTGGGCAAACTCATTTCCTTTGTGTAATTTTAAAAGGGTGGTATTCCCTGGAATTGTTGCACATATGTGATCTTCCACTCTTCTCCTTATTGAGTGGCTTATGACTACTAACAAAGCAAGAGCTTTTTTCTTTCTAAGTTTTTTTTAAAATTCTTAAATCAACTGTTCAGTTTAAAGAGATAGGAATTTGCAAAAGAGTGAAAGTTAATGCTATTTAAAGAGATAAAAGTGATAGAATTATGTGCTGCTAATTCATAACTTATTGTTGACATTTTACAAATTACTTGATAGAGAGAGTAGTATGAGATTATATTTATAAAGTATTTATTTCTATTTACTTCACTGAAAATAATATGCATTCTGTTAATCTTGTGTTTTGGGGTCTCCCCTAAGTTATGCATATTCCTGATGCTGGATTGCATTTTTGGTAAAGGAAAAGATGCCCAAGGGAGCCAGAGTGGTGATGCAAGAAGAATCCATCTGCTGTTTTATGTGGCTATCTTTATTTTCTTTTCAAGTTGCATTTGTTGTCTGGATATTTCTTTCCACTGTTTGTTTAATTAACAACATTCTCCCTCCTTGCCCCCCTTTGCCAACACTCAAACACTTAAAAAAAATGCTGTGACTGAAGGCAAAGAAACAGCAACAGAATACAGAGGAAGCACAGTTTTCTTTTTCTTCCTGCTGCTTTTTCTTGTAGGGTGGCTTACATTTTTCCCTGATGGATAAAATGAAGCTAGAAATACATATAAGAACATAAGCAATGCCCTGCTGGGTTGGACCCCTGGCTGATCTAATCTAGCAGTTTGTTCTCATAGTGGCCAACCAACTGCACAAGGAAGCCCACTAGTCTCCCAGCAGATGGCCTGCAGAGGCAGTCACCCTGCCATCGAGGCTAATAGCCATTAATCCCCACGACTTCTATGAATTGGTCCAACACTTTTTTGAAGCCAGCCAAGCTGGTAGCCAGCACCACAGATTCTGAGCAGAATAATTTGTGAGAGAACGGTTTAAGCAGCCCCTCCCAAGTATTATTTTGCTCCCAGAAGTAGCTTCCACATGTTGCTTTTCATTAATTAAAAAAGAGCCCATGAAGAGAGGAGTATAGCAAGCATGGACCTTCTGTCTTAATAAGGGTGAGCAGTTGGCACTGAATATGTGCTGTTCCTAAAAAGAAAATGCTGGTGAGAGGGCTGCTTAATTCTTTCACTGCTGCCAAATATTATTCATGGCATGGAACAGTTTTCCCTATCCTAATTCAGCCCTCTGACTAAATTAGGACTGTAATTCCCACACTTCCCTGTCAGCATGGACATTGTAGCTCTCCATGTCTGGAAGATACCTGATGAAAGAAAGCTAGCAGGTCAGGGAGAAGTCGGAATGCTTGCCATTAGCAATGTCACAGATAATATTTAATTATGGCCCAACACAGCCATTTGAAAGAGTATGGCTGCACTCTCTGAGAACGATGGATGGATGGATGGATGGATGGATGGATGGATGGATGGATGGATAGAAGTGTGTGTGTGTGTGTGTGTGTGTGTGTATTCACATTCACATATAAATATTCTCAATGATAAGGAAAATCCAAATCCTACGTCTGCACAGTGGAAGTGCAATCTCAAGAGATGGTGTCTAGTCTTCCCACAGCAAAGAAGAAACTACTGTATGTTGGTTGCACTTAAAACTGATTGTCTGAAAAAGATAGCTTGTTGTTTTCTTTTCTGAGAAAAGTAGATTTAGAGTATGCAGTGGGAATGTAGCAAAGATGAAAGGGATCTTTACACAGGAAAGAATATGCCTTTCTTTCTGTCACTGTAGGAAGTGATGCTGTTAAAAATCTCCTTCAAAATATTAAATATAGTTATCTCACTGCTTTTTTTTTCTTTTTCAAGTGTTAGAATTCCAAGTGGAATGGACCAATTGGAAAATGAAGCTGACCAAAGCATAGACACTGAAAAATAAATTAATCCCTAGCACTAAGTAGTTGAAGAAGATATTTTAATTTTTATCAAATTTTTAGAGTAATCTTAAAAGCAAAGGTCTGTGTTTTATCTCAGAATTCTTGTTTTCAGTGTTTTTTAAAAAATGGGTATCTATGTAAAGCCAACCTTTGGCAAACCTCTCAAGATCCCCAGCCCTTCTTATATATGTTCCTAGGAATATGGCATATTTCACTAATAGTGAATCTTGATTTGCAGAGCATGGCTACACTTTGGTATCATTGTTTTCAAGTCTCCCACTTTTTTGTTGCATCTATTGGTCCTCTGTGTGATGCCCAGATGAGAGTCTGTTTAGTGATATATTGTTTGAATTTCATGTGCATGTGATGTGAGAAGATGTGTGAATATAAAGGCAAGAATGTCAGAATCCCTTCTGCATAGATTCAGTGGATTGGCAAAAGTGTCCCAGATGTACATAAACATCAGGTCTCAGCAGGAATAGTGACCATAATAACCCTGCTGGACTAGAAGAAAATTCCAGAATCCTTTTATAATGCTGTAGTCTCTGGCTGGAAGATACTAGCTGGATTCATACAACATATCAAACCAATTGCTTATTTTTAGCTTAGATTGTTGTGTGAATCCAGCAAATGTGGATCATTAATCATATTTTATGATTTAGTGTGTTGTATAAAATTAGTTAACTGTGATTTATCCAGTAAACCATGACTTGACACCGTGCATAAACACAGCCACTACATCATTGTGAGATTTTCTACATATTTCCTACTGATTAGCTCTCTTAAAATGGCATTTCTTTCCTTCAAGAAACTCCATTCTTAAACATCTAAAGGACAAAGCTTAGTAGATCTAATCTCTTACTGGTCTGGGAAGAAAAATGAGGATCATGGAACCCTCCAGACATTGCTGAGCTATAGCTATCAGTAGCCTGAAGCACCATAGATAATGATGAAAGTTGCTGAAAGCTGTAGTCCAGCAAATCCATGAGGAATCCAGGATCTCATCCTTGTTACCTAACATATACACTTGTCTTGCTCTTTTAAGAATTATTTTTAGCACTAGTTCTTAATTTTAATCAGTCAAACACTAATAGGTTGGGGCAAGTGTTTGGCCAGAATATGTTTTCAGAATGTGCTACCCTGATTTAAATGCATAAGAAAGGTATTTTTACTGCCCATTCAGTATGAAGATGCAGGAAATTGTCAAGTGACACTTTTATTTATTTATGTTAGTCCTCATTATTTACTCTTCATGTTTGCAAAATAGAAAAGAATTATAATCATTTTCTAAAAACAGCCTTGGTAGGCAACTTTATTCATTTCAGCTTTTCAGCCTGAAGCTGCTTCCAGAAAACATGTTTACAGTGAAATTGTGTATGTCTCATTCACTCACATTTAATGAGGAATTAATACTATCAAGTCATCCTCCAGTCACCCTTGTTTTTTCCTAGTGGTGCTTCTGCCTCTTTTCTTACTGAAGGAAATCACACTTTGGGGAAAGGAATTGATAAGCAGTAAGACCTCTTTGACGCTGTGCTGGCTGGGAAAACTAAGAGAGTTAGGAAGATTTGTCACTGACATTTGGGAGGGTCTTTCATTTCTGTGTTTCTTGCCATGAATTTCCCACTGCAGGGCCATTTCATGTCTTACAATGCAGTCCCTTTTCCCAAAGAGTTTTGTCATTTAACCCTTGTAAATTATTTAGTTGTTCTTAAAAAAAAAAAAAAAACCCAAGGCAGATTAATGCATATGTTTGATTTAAAGCAGTAGTTCTCAATGTTTTCCTTTACATGGATACTACATTATCAGCAAAGGTTTTGGGGAGCACCACATAAGCCAAGGACTAGCATTGTAGCCTGTGCGCACCAGAAGACATGACTCCTATAGCAAGCCAGAAAACCTCAAAATTAAATAGTTATTTTTTTAAAAAAAAGGTCTGAAATCATTCTGTGAAGTTTGGGGCAAAATAAGCCCACAATTTGTTGAAATTTGATTATCTCATGAACTTTTTGCTATTATGTCTATAGAATTTTTATTTTGGTATCCATGCCAAGTATCACCCTCACAGATCCCTAACATTCCCTAGGCTACAGATTGGGAACCACTGATCTAAAGCACCTCTGCTCCTGGTTATTCCATTTGCAGTTCCCTCTCAAAGGAAGTTTCATTAAAATATACAACACATAGATTAGTTATTTAAATAGAAGATTCAGTGTACTTTGTTATATATTTAAATAGTTGCATTAGAGCTTTATTGCAGTGAATAATTGGATTAAAAAAAATAACCCATATTCTGGTCCAGAGATGATGATTGATAGATAGATATCAGTGGATGGAATACAGTAGGCTTCGTTATAGAAAAAGTGGTGATTTCAGTGTGGAAATTCCACTGTGCTTCAGCTTATAGCTTTACAGAAAACAACGATTTTCTGACACTATAAATCATCCTAGGTCTGGAAGCATGCTAAATCTAAACATGAAATTATCTCATGAAAATTCAATATTCTGTTTTTCATTTAGTGGTGATTCTTGCTCTCTTATTAATATCTGACCTATCACCCATCAAACTAATTATTTAGTTAGACCAAATGAGTTAAATAGGGCCCTTTCATAAATCTAATTTGTAAACAGTCAGCAAATGAGCTGTGTTGAAACCTAGGTTCCCTGAATCTCTAACGGTTGGAAACCAACTTGAGGAAAGCATCTGAACTTGGTTATACTTCCTGAGAAACAACAATGCTTAGTACAACCCCAAACATGATTACTTGTTAGCAAGTCTTACAATGTCCAGTGGGGCTTTCTTCCAGGTAATGCACTCCTTTAAGTAAAGGAGAGACTTTCAGAGGTTAGGAAAGTTCATTCCTTTTGAACATATACCCTCTATCAAGACTTCCATAAATGGCACCCTCTGTGTATATTGGACCATAGAGCTCTTATTATTCCCAGCCAGCACAGTTCATGAGATGCAAAAAAAGAAAAAGATTAGAATGACATCCTTATTATTCAGACAAAATCAAAGTCTTTTAGTTCCTTGTACAAATCTGAAATTGTCAGATATTTCATTACAGTAACAACAATGAATGAAGTTATCTCAGTATTCTTGCTTGTATACATTTGTTTGTTCAAATTAAGCAATTAATAAATATGTACTATCACCTGCATTGGAAATAAAAAAATTTAAAAAATGCTTGGGAGGATTGTGGAATGGGCTGGGGTAGACTGATAGTGGGACGTGCCTTAGGTCAGCCAACCTGAAGAGCATGTCCCCCCGTGGTATGATGGTTGGGTTAAAGCTTGGTCTCATGCTATATTTCATGTTTCTGGGGCCAGCAAACCTGCAGACAACATGAGAGTCTTGAGTGAGAGATCAAAGGCTTGACCCAAAGCCCTTAGATCAGCAGAAATATTTTGATCAGAATGTAAAAATAATGAATAGAAATGAATTGGTGAATTGTGATCTCAACAAATTGGTTAATTTATCTTATGTCCAACAAGTTGCAGCTTCTTGCTGGAGTGGTTATCCTCAAATGATTTTTATTTAAAACTTTGGCGTAGTAGAGACCTAATCCACCAGCACATCATTTTTCTTGGTGCCTGTATTACTGAGGTTGCTGCTTCATTCATTGCTGAAAAATCAAGCTGCTAACAAATATTATCCAGACTTCAGCTGAAATAGATTAATTTCTATTGATTTATTGTAATTCTTTTGACTTTGTTTGAGATGTACATTTTTAAAATGTTTTTGCAAACTGGTTAGTTTCAGTAACAACAAGGCATTTGTTGAGGAGAAAACGCTTATTCACTTTCCCCCCACTACATTGATATTTTGGGAATCTTGTAAACAAGAAACCTCTTAAATTCAATATGAAATGCAACAGGGTAACTTTCAATGCTGCTCTTTCTCATACTACCACAGCCTGGATGGCAATCTCAAGAGAGAAAGTATTACATCATGTTAGTCATTAGAATATGATGTAATACAACAAAACTGTGGCATTATACCAACTCTCACACACTTCCATAAAATATACAGGTTAGAGATTGATGTTTATTTACTGAAAGTGGCACGGTTCTTCTGTTTCTTCGGTTATACACACACACACACACACACACACACACACACACATAGATTATTGGAGGAATTTCTCCCATACAGATGTTCTTTCTATCACCCTCCAGTAGATATTAATCCAGCATGATAGACTTGAATATTATCATAAAGCAACAGAAAATAAGTGAAAGGAGCAT